TCTGTTCTTTTGTTTTGGGTGGGTCTTTTTCATCCACGTTTTCTTTGCAGAAGCACTCAGGACCTCTAACACAGAGGCTCCCCCTACCCTCCGTTTTTTGTTTTAAAAATTCTTTCTGAAACTTTTGTTAGTTGGATGTCATCTTGACCCTTCAGTTTTCATTCCTATGATCGATCTCTTCATCTTTGTACTTTACCTTCTAGAAGGTTTCCTCAGCTTTCTGTTCCAGTGTTTACAATTTCTAATCTCTTTATATTGCCCTCAAAGTGTTCCTTTTTGAAAAAGTTTTCATCATATTCTGTTCGTGTTTGGTATCTGCAATCTATTCACCCGTCCCTCTGAGGATTTAATTACAGGCTGGGTTCTCTGTCCTAAGCTGGCACTGTTTCCTCCTATTCTCTGTGCTTCCTTCAAGCTCCCTTTTGTCTATTTTTGGCCCTTCTGTTGTGTCTGAGCCTGTCCCCAGTGCCTGGTGACCCTTTGTTATGGGTTGGCATTTAAGATGGAAGCACCAGCTCATGGGTGGGGGGCCTGCTGCCTGGTGGGCTACACAGTGGGGCTACAAGCAGGAGCTGGCTCAGGGATCCTGGGCTGGTCCACCTTGGAGCTCTCCAGAGACAAAGCCCTCAGTGTCCAGCATTCAGGGGAGGCTGCTGGAAGCAGGAAGGAGGGTGAGCCCGGGTGGTGGGGAGGGGCCTGCCATTGCCATTCAGTGTGCATGCACCGTTACCCAGTTACCCTTGTTTCCACTCTAAAGTTGCACCTCCTCCCCCACCTCCTCCTGGCCTTCCAACCTCCTTCCCCACCTGCCCGTGTTCTAGAGTCCTGAGCCGTGCTGGGTTCCTTTCTGCAAAAAATACACCTGAAACAGAAGTGGGCACCCAGGAGTCTAACCACTTTGTTTACGAACCTTGTTTCAGCCCTGCCTGATTCAGCCTGAAACTTGCACTTGCTCCCCTGTCCCCACCCCAGTTGGTTTCTGGTTATTCTGGATCCTGGGGCTCTGCTCAGCATCTGCCCCCATGGGCCCATTAGGTCGCAACCCCTCCACTGGCTAAAGTCCTTGCCTTCTGCTTTCTGCAATGCCAGGCCCTTGTGCTACCTCTCCCCTCTCGCTCTTCATTGTGGAGGCTTCTGCACTCTCCACTTGATTGCTGTTTTAGAGGAATCCTGGCAGGAAGAGAGATAAGCTATGTGTACAGTCCGCCACTGCCTTGCCCTAGGGCCCTGCTCCTCCTCAGAAATGGCTCCTACTCCCGGGGAAGAAATGCTAGGAGAGAGGTTGTGATCGTGTGTGAGTGAGTGTGAGTGTGCAAGAGCATGTGCGTGCATGCACGTGTGCTCATGTGTGTGCGAGGCCCTGAAACAGACTCTGAAGGTTCTGCAGTCAGCAGACATCTCACGTTGTCTTGGGTACAAGGCGGCAAACATACAAGGTAACCAAAAGAGTAGGTGGCCTCCGTGCTGAAATGGGTATGTGCCTCAGAGTGGTGATTCTGAAGGGGATTCACTCAGCCCAATGATTAAATCCTGGACATTTCATTTAAAACATTTCCCGTTACCTTACTTGGGAAGCTGGCAGAGTATGTGGCTTTTCACACTGCCCTGATTACAGAATTGACTTGTTCATTTATTCTTTAACAAGGTTAGATGGAGCCCATCCATGCAGGCACTGTGCTTGGCACAAGGGGTAAAATGGCGAGCAGAACAGGCACTGCTATTGTCCCTGTGAAGCTTATAGTCCAGGGTGTGATAGCAGGAGGAGGACAGATGTTCCTCGTACAAGTATATCATTTGTGTTTGGAAAGATCAGATTTAGTCCCAGAGATTGGCGCTGAGCCCTCAGACGACAGAGGACTTTTTGAATCCAGATGTAGCCTGACATCACTTTTAAGACTTGGTTCTCTGTCAGAGCAGATGTCCCCTTTTTTGGTTTAGAAACATTAGCGCTGTCTTTGGAGTGCTCATACACTAAGGCAGGCGCTCTGCATGTCCATGGTCTCCTCTGCCCCAGTGGTGATGCCCACAGGGAGAGGCAGCATGTCCACTTTGCAGAGGACAGGACTGGCTTAAGCCATTGGGCCTCAAGTTCAAGTCTGCCTGAATTCCTTGCAGCGAATACTCTACACAAAGTGGTCCTCCACCCCACACCCCACCTCCCTTTCTGATGCTGGGACCTGAGGCTGACTGCTGAGTTTATAAGCTTCTGCAGGGGCACCGGGAGGCATGGGCACCGTCAGGTAGACCCTGCCTTGAGTCAGGTGTGTGGGATCCTCTTGGGGTTGTGACTTCAGCCACATAGACAGATCATTTATCTTGCAGATCATTAGCTCTCCTGACTTGGGATGGAAAGAATTTAGGTTATTAGGCACCTTTATGTGACTGGGTTGGGAAGAAGCCCCTGGGTACATCTTACTGCTGTGGGGAAGACAGGCCGGAAATGCCCACCTTGTTCCACCAGGGCCGCCTTCCCAGTGTTCTCAAGGAGCCAGGAACCCACATTGTACTCCTCACCCAGTACCTGGTGCTATGGATCCCTGAACCATCCAGCCCTCCGGGCTCCCTTCCAGAGACCTGCTCTGCCCAGCAACACCTTCCTTGGGGGTTAGGGGAGGTTCTCTCTCTTCTCTCTCTCTCTCTCTCTCTCTCATTCTTCCCACCTCACCTCCCTGGGCTCCTTCATGATGCCTTTACACACTTTTACCTCATTGCAAATGAATTTCGGTCCAGGTCAAAGCTGGGCCTTTGGTCATCCTTGTTTAATGCTTCATAGATAAGGATTGGGGGAACAGTGGCGCGTAGGCTCAAACAGAGGAGCCCACACTGCCGGCTTTTTCCCATTACATTTTTATTTCTCACTCAGAGAAAGGACGGTTCTAGCAGTGTGGTGAGTGGAGAGAATCATCACCGGCAAACCCTGGAGACCTTTCTAGCCTTGGGTTAGAAGGCACACCCCTCTCTGTGGGATTCCCAGATACCCAAACAAGCCCTTCTAGATGCCCTTGTCTGTTGGAAGGCTAAAGGCACAGCTCCCTGTCTTCCAGCGCAGCTTGTGGTTGGAGTGTTCTGCAGACAGTTTCTGTTTTTGAAAGTTTATCAGAAATTATGCATTTATTATAGAGAGACCATGGAGGTTCCCTTATTCCTTTTGTTTACAACGTGTTTTATTTTTACATTTTAGTGGTTCTAAAATTGGGATGCATCTTAAAATAGACACACATGTTTGGATATGGTACGATGCCTTTTTTTGTGTGTGAAGGGGTGTTCCCCAAATGACTGCATCCTAGAATTGAGGAAATACAGTAAAAAGTGCCTTGGGAGAAAATCTTTCAAAACATAGAATCCATGGGAGGAAACAAGCATAGGACGTGCTTGGTGGTAGAGGAGCTGAGACCACTGCCTTAAATCTCATGTTTCCATAGAAACTCTACGGATCACCATTATGGGGAAAAATGCCGACCTCCATTCCATCCTGTTTCTATCTGTGGGGGTGACATACTTGGAGAAACAGTTCCTAAAATTATCCCCATACCATTCCTCCTTCAGCTTTCGGGTCAAAATATATTTGCATCTTTATCATAAGGGCCTTTCTTTTCCTGTTGTTATATTTGCTAATTTACAATTGTTTGGTTTGAAAAACAAGCATTTTTTCTTTTGCCTCCTGGCCTTTCAGTTTTTCTAAGGCAGCCTCAGAGAGCGTGGCTGTGGTGGGCTCCAGGAATGTCCTGGGAAGCCTGAGCCCACTGGACTGGGGTCCTGGCTCCCGCCTCCGCTGTGAGCATGTGACAGGCAGAGGCCATCCACGTGCTGCGGGGCCCGCCATGCTCTGTGCAGAGCCTGCAGTCAGTGTGCAGGATGCGGCTGCATCAGAGCAGTTGTGTGTGAAGAATGGAGGCACTTCCAGCAGTTTGTCAGGATGGGCAGGAGCTTGTCAGGTCAAGGACCAGATCCCAAAGTCTAAAGCTCAAAAGGAGAACCCAGAAGGAGTCAGAAAGTGAGCTGCTCAGAGACTTCCTATAGAGTTTATCCCAAAACGGGTGCTGCTCCTCGGTCTTCCTGGATGCCCTGCTTCGAGGTTCTTAAAGGAAGGCATGCAAGGTTGAGTCATACCCTTACAGGGAGGCTGAGGCAGAAAACAGACCAAGCCCTGACCAGCAATTCACAGAGCAGTCTGGAAAGAAATAGGAAGAAAGCACCACCCTCTTCTCCTCCTCCTCTTCCATCTCCTTTGCATGCTCTTCTCACAAAGCCGGGTCTTTCATGCGAATACCCACTAGCCCAGCCCAGTCTAGGTCACAGGGGCTTTGATACTCAGATCAAGGCTGGCTGGCGTCATTCTCACGACACTTCCTAGTGGAGAATTTCTACAGCTACAGGTGAGAAAATGGCTTCCTAGTGAGACCAGGAACAAGGAACCGAGTCTTCTTTTGTTTTTCTATCCTGATCCAGTTTCTGACCTTGAATACCACTCTCAGGGCTTGTACCAAGAGGATGCAGGGTGGAGTGAAATGTTTCTGACCTCCCTCTCCACCCCAGCCTCCAGTAGAATCCCATTGACTGAAGCACCCAGCTGGTCCCGGGGCCCTAGAACAGGAGGCTGTGTCACCCTCACTGCAGGCAGTGGCCCCTCAGGTGGCTCATCACACCCTGTGGACTCCTTTCTTCACCCACACCATCCCCAGTGAGTAAATGGTAATGTGCTGACTTACCCAATCCTTTCTTGGTCCAACAAAAGTTGCTCTTTTCTCATTAGAACCGTTTTTGTCAGGGTGTCTTTAATCAACAGCTTCCCCAGGGACAGTATTTTTAGAAGTTGTATTTTTCACACTCTCCCTTTTCCCCTTTTGGAAAATCTCATCCCAGTGCCTAGTGAAATAAACTAATGAGATGCCCAGAGAGCCCGGGCCCGTGTTAATTGGAACATGCGGAAGAGTGGCCACGCACACCTTCAGCTCCTTCCTGCCTTACCTGCGCTCCTTTTCTCTGTCTCTTTGGTGTAGGTTGCACAGACAGCAGATGGTGTGGATGCCGACCTCTGGAAAGATGGCTTATTTAAATCCAAGGTTACCAGATACCTGTGTTTCACAAGATCATTTTCCAAAGAAAATGTAAGTCTAGTCGCAGTTTCTACTTGCTGAGTGAGCACAAGTAATTTACATTCCTGTTTGGAATTTCCTCATTTTGTTGTTGTGGTTTATTTTCATTGCCATATTAATTTATCTGTGGTTTTAGGGAACTGGGTAGAATCAGCAGCCAGCACTGTGTTTCATTTATTAACAGTATTATTAACCATGTACCCAAGTGTACCGTGAATTCCATTAAATTGTGATCTCAAAAGGAAACCAGGAAATTTCTCTCCCAGCTCTCGTTTGCCTACCTTTCCTCCAAGCAACAAATCACAGGATAGTGCGGCAGTGAGAGTTCTCCAGTGGAGCGGGATTTAACGCTGGCCAGCAAAGGCAGCATGGCTCAGGGAGGGCCCGTATGACCCCACCCCGTCCACAGACATCATGCCCTTGCTTCCACAGTGACATTTCTGCTCCCTTTGAATCTCTATGTGACATATCACATTTCATTATTTTTGTGGGTAAGTATCCACTCCTGCAGATTTCTCTTACTGTGCTTTTTAAAAATACTTGCACCTGTAAATTAGGAAACTTTGAAGACATCTACTAAGGTTTTGGTTTTTGTTTTTTACGTCTAATAAGGTATTTTAATAGATGAATTGGCAAAAAAGAAAGTAGCTTTAGTGAGTATCTTCTTTGTGCAAGGCCTGTCCTGGGTACCTCATTCTGTCCACACATAATCTCTACAAGTGGAAGTTCCTTTCCAGTGAAGAAACCGAGATCCAGGAGGTGATATGCTTGTTCAAGGTTACTTCTCTTCCCTAGCCCCAAATAGGGAGCAGTTGGGATTTTCATTTACAGGGCTAACCTTTCATTTTTGGTCAAATGTTATTGTCTCTTTGTCATGTCAGTTTTTATTTTTGGAAATCTTTTTATTGATTTATTTATATAAATTATAACAGTAATATTTGTTTGTGGTTAAAGAAAAAATACTGAACCCAGATGACAAATATCCTCATTCAACAGCATGAAGTGGGGAAAGCATTAGTCCTCCTCTCTGCCACCTGGGGAGAGGAGGGTGGGTCCATCACAGGGTCCTGGCGTGTACCCTCAGTGTTTTCTGAATGTAGACCATCACGTGACTTTCTGGCTTGCACTCTCTTCTACCCCTATTCCTGTTGTTTGTTGTTAATTCTTTGGTAGGAGAATTATTCTGAGCATATTCAGGACTGGGAGAAAAGTCATTGCTTTATTTTTTTCCCCCTAATTACAAGAGCAATATATGCGCGTTGTAAAGTACAGAGTTTATAATGGAGTCAGGGAAAACCTTGGCACAAAAGACTGGTAATCTTCTCAATTCAGGCATTTGAGTGTATTTTAAATACCAGGAAGGTAGCAGGGCTAAAGCATGGACAAGGGCACTGTGAGTTTGTAATGAGTCCCCGAAGGTTCCCCGGCTCACTGAGCACCCGGAGGAGGCACCCAGGTGTGGGCTGAAGGCTGAGTAGAGGTTTCAGTTAAAAATGAGTAGAGGCCAAAGAGGCTTCAGTTGAAAGTGGCCCAAGGACAGCCGTGATCTCTGTGATCATTTTTTATTTTTGTTCTTATTGCATTTTACCCCAAAGACCATGGGGTGTCGGTACTTAGGCTAGCGGAGTCCCCGCATCCCTTGGAGTGGGGACAGTGACAGAGCTAAATATGACAAAGACAAGTCACCGGGGCTTGTTAGCATTGGGTATCGTGGGTAAGTGTATTCGAGAAAATCCATTGATTTCGTCAACATGTGTTGAACGTTAAAAAGATATTTCTTGGCATGATGAAGGGATGTTGGAATAGGACAAAGGCAGTGTGAGAAGCCTCTGCCTCGCTTTGAAGTGGTGCATATTGTTTTTGGAAAAAGAATGAATGGATCCGATACTGGGATCCAATCGATCGAGTTCCAGCGGTTGGCAGGGGCCCTCTTGCCAACCCAGGAGTGCAGGAGGAATCAAATATTTTAATCTGTTACAGCCAGTCTGTGCTGGCTCTGTAGTCCAAACCAAGACTTTGAAGAACATAATGTTTTACAACTGTAAAGGAGGGATGTGGGATCTCCAGACTGGACAGATTCTTAATTAGGTGACTTGAGACTCCCAGCGTAGGAGTTTTGGGAGACTCCTTTGGAACCTAAATTTCTTTCCCCCAATAATGCTATTAATACAGAAACCTGGCTTTGGAGTGACATTGCTTCCTGGGGAAGGATCGAGATTAATTGCACTTTTCATGCCCTGTACTTTCTGCATTACCTGTAATAATAATGTACATAGATTAGGTAGGGAGGATATTAAACAGAAGGATTTATGAACATTTGAATATTAAGTTGGTTATCTGTGGCTACCTTAAATGCAAGGTTGTCAAAAATAATTACAGTATACTAGCAAATACTGGCTACCAGAGACAATATAAATACCCTGAGTCAGTGCATATTGGGCTTTTGGCATGAATCATTTGCTCAACAAGGATTGGGAATACGTTCTTCATATTTATGAGGAGGAAATGAAAGAGAGCACAGATGGGGGAGGGGAGAGGAACAGGCAAAATTAATGGTGTCGCAGACCCACTGTATTAAACCCAGTACAGTGGCAGCCCTGTGTCAGGAGGGACCACACTTGGGCTGTGGGGGGCTCTGACAGTGCAGCCTCCCATTTTGTATGCATGCAAGGGGTTTTCCATGCTTTTTTTTTTTTTTTTTTTTTTTTAAATGGCCGAACCACTGATGTTCAGGTTTTATAATCAGGGACATTTGTAGAGTGTGTGGAGGGTGAGGTCACTAAGTGGTTTGCAGTTGACTTCTGTAAAACCCAACTTGTCAAGTAGAAGACATTTGAGAAGGATATTGATGAATGCCCATCCATCTGCAGGGCAGGAAAACATGCCTAGTTGTTAATTTCTCAATGCAGAAAGCAGTGATGACATGGAAAAGCAACTGCCATGAAAAAAAATTATGATAGATTGGGTCAGGCGATTCTGAAAGCAGCTGATGCTTGCAAGTTAGGTTAACAGTTCAAACCCTTCCTACATGGTCAGAGATTTATTCCGCGTTCTGAGGTCCCACTTACCACTCCCTAGGCTGTGCTGTATGTTGTCTTCCTGAAGCCCAGCTACCTGGAATGTCAGAATATTAATTGTTGCCAAATACGATAGTTCTGAGAGAAAGAAACGGTTTCCTGATGGCAGTGCCGTAAAAACACTGATCATAGGTTATACTTGCTGTTTTGACCTTCCTAGTTAAATTTTCATAATTTATTTCATTTGTATATTTTTGGTTGATAATATATCTATTATATTTATTAGTGTATATCAGTACTTTAGATATTTTTATTGATATAGTTTAGATTTGACATCTCAGCAAACCCAACTTGATTGTGTGTGTGTGTGTGTGTGTGTGTGTGTGTATGTGTATTTTTTTGAGACAAAGTCTCCCTCTGTCGCCCAGGCTGGAATGCAGTGGCACAGCCTCAGCTCACTGCAACCTCCGCCTCCCGGGTTCAAGCGATTCTCCTGCCTCAGCCTTCAGAGTAGCTGGAACTACAGATGCCCACCAGCACACCCAGCTAATTTTTCTGTTTTTTAAAGTAGAGACAGGGTTTCATCATGTTGGCCAGGCTGGTCTCAACCCCCTGACCTCAAGTGATCTGCCTGCCTTGGCCTTCCAAAGTGCTGGGACTACAGGCATGAGCCACTGTGCCCAGCTGATTTTTATTTATTTGTTTATTTATTTTTGAGACAGGGTCTTACTCTGTTGCTCAGACTGAAGTGCGGTGGCATGATCTTGGCTCACTGCAGCCCCAACCTCCCAGGCTCCAACCATCCTCCTACTTCAGCTTCCTGAGTAGCTGGGACTACATGCCTGAGTGCCACCACACCCAGCCATTTTTTTTTTTTTTCCATTTCTAGAGATGGGGTTTTGCCATGTTTCCTAGGCTGGTCTCAAACGCCTGAGCTCAAGAGCCCCGTCCGCCTTGGCCTCCCAAAGTGTGGGGATTACAGGTGTGAGCTACAGCGCCTGGCCTCCAGTTTGATTTCTGACTCTGAGTGGCCCAATTGAAAAATGTGCCCCCAAAAATAATTTATTCAGCAAATAATTACTGAGTACCTGCTGTGTGGCAAAAACCATGCTAGGCTTGTATTTACAGTAGGAACAGAGATAGTTTTGGTTCTCACGGTTCTTAAACTCTAGAAGGGAGACAGATATTAAACAAATAACCCCACAAATTGATAGGGAGGGAAAAAGAGAGTGCCAAGAGGGAACATGACACAGTTTAGATGATGAGAACTCCCTGCTTGGATTTCAGAGACGTGGCACAGTGCAGGTGGAGGTGGGATCTTGGCTCCCATGTGCAGAGATGGAGGTAGCAGCCCTTCTTCTCTAAGCAAGATGGAACAACAGCCTGAGAAGTTGCTGTCCAGGGCAGAGTGATGGCTGACCAACTAGATGCTTGTCCAAGGATGCTGAACAAGTAAACGGAGAGCATGCTCACGCTGGGCTTCGGGGTTGAGGCACTTCTGCAAAATGGGCACGTGGAGTGCACTGCTAGTATCCTAACAGGAGAGATTTGGGGTTAGAACCCATCGTTCTTTCCTTAACTGGCTCTGACTAGAGAGGGGGAACCAAGCTGCAGATTACTCTGAAGATTTTGATGAAATCTCCAAAGTGGCCCCACATATTTAAGTTGTAGGGTAGATATCTTTAGCGCTTATTTCCAGCTTGAAATGCGGGCTGCAAGTGCCGGCATGTTTGCAAAGAGCTTTCTCTCGCAATTACAGAATAGTCTACTGTCTTTGAAAGATATTTTTACCTAGTTACAGAAACTGTGCACTGTGGACCCCATACACTACCACTAAATAGAAACTTTAGGAGGCCCTGGTGCATGTCATTTTAGAATATGTGTAATATTGAGGCAGCAGGGCTTTCACTCTGTATTAGTTTATGATTCTTGGGATTTTGCAAAATGTATCTAGCAACTGAAATGTGTGTCACTATGCAGACTGGTGATCACTTAGGAGTGTGATGGGTTCCCTGTTAGGTTTATGTGCAGCTCTTCCCTACGAGTGCCTCAGGAATTTGCTCTTTTTAAAAACTCCTGGCCTTGAGATCTGATGCTCAGGGCTGAGTGGTAGCCTGGTCCCGGGACCTGTGAGCACAGCTGCCCTCTGCTGGGTTATGTCTAGAGCATCTCCTGGGTTGCTCCCAGCTCACCAAGGCCGTGTCTGAGTGAGTGGCTTTGAGGTTCCACAGATGAATCTCCTTCCTGGGGGCCACACGAGTCCCTTTGTAACCACTGGGGAACATTAAGTGTCATCTACTCTAATTAACCTGCTGTCATAAAGCTGCATGAGTCATTGTGTTAAATATGCATCTTGAAGCCAAAATGGCAAACCTACCACAGGCGTGTTCGGATTAATAGTCTGTATCTCTTTTCTTTCTTCCCAAGAGTCATCTGGGGAACGTGTTAGTAGATATGAAGCTCATTGACATCAAGGACACACTGCCTGTGGGCTTCATCCCAATTCAGGAGACGGTGGACACACGTGAGTCATCCTTTAGTAGCACTCATCACAATGAGGGTTTTCTTCTTCCAGGTATATTTGTAGGTGTTTTTTATGTGCATTTTTCTTCAGAAATATTTTAGGAGACCTTACTGCGTGCCCATGAATAAACCCTGCTGTTTTTGATGTGTGTCTGGCTGGGTTCTCCAAGGAGTTTGCAGAGTATTCTGGGTAGTGGCATGTACATGAGCAGAACATCCCTTTCTTTTAGAATGGTACTCCCTGCTGAATTGGCTCACTGGGGAATAGAATGGTGAAACTGGATATAGTTTGTCTCTAGTCCTGCCTCTGGTGTTGCTGAAGCCAAACTTGGCACAAGATCCAGAAGGAAGCGGAAAGAAAACAATCAGAAGACGCCCAGAGAATACAAGACCAATAATGTGCCCATTTAGGGCCCATAGAGCAAACAAGAAAAGCGAGAATCAGAAAGACTGTGAATTAAAGTTCGCAGGTTTGAATTGGACTGAATATTCTGATCCCTGAGCAGTGCCGAGCAGAAGTGAATCACTGAGGAATCGCAGTTTCTTCATGGTGCTGGAGCGCTTGGAGCTTCTTGACCCGCACATGGGTGATTAAATGGTGCTGGAAAACCTCTGGCAATTGGGCTTCCTTGGTTTGGTGTAATATAACTTACCTTGTTTCTTTTCTAATCACTTGTCAGCCAACTTTAGGATATCTACAACAGTGAACACACACAAAAAAACAGAGAATCCTTTTGTTACAACTCAGGGTTCATTAATTAAATGCTCTGTCTCATACTTTATTCTTTCATAATCAGCCCCACTTTGGTCCCACTATTTTTTGCTGTTTTCTTGCTAGCACTTCATATGATATGAACTAGAGTTTCTATCTCGATGCAGATCCCACCTAACTGTTATTTTCATGAAACCAGCAGACCCCGTTATATAGCATGTTTTTATTTTCCTGATGGCCTCTTCACATTTTGACATTGGATTGCTTTTTGTCTTTTGTTATTGTATGTATTACCTGATATTCATAAGAGCTGATGTTTAGTATGCATTTATTGTATGCTTACCCCTGTGATAAAAGCTTTACCTCCCTGATTTCATTTAATCTTCAGAAGACCCCTCTTTAGAGATGGGCATTATTATACCCATTTCACATATGAGAAGAGCGAAGCACACTCACTACTTAGGGGTTAAAGAACTTAGCCAAGGTCATGCATCTAGAACTAGACGAATAACTAGAATGCTCACAGTACGTCTTACTCCAGCCACACTTCTAACCACAGTGCCACACTAGAAGAGCATGTGTAAGCACCTTTTATAGTTTTCTTTTATATTAATATATAGAGTTTTTAAAAATTAAGATGTAACTCACATATCATGCAATTCACCCATTTGACGTGTACAGTTCGGTGGTTTTTAGTAAATGCAGAGTTGTGCAACCATTAGTTGCACATTCTAGTCACCCCCAAAACCCATTATCAGGTTATCACCCCATATCCCTTAGTAACCACTCTCTTATTTCTCTAGAGTCCTCACCTCCCCACTCTCCACCAGCCCTAGGCAACCACTGATCTGCTTTCTACCTAGATTTGCCTATTCTGGACATTTCATATAAATGGAATCACACAGTGTGTGGTCTTTTGTGACCAGCTTCTCTCACTTAGCATAATGTTTTCAAGGTTGGTCCATGTTGTAGGATAGACCATTGCTTCATTCCTTCTTATCACCAAATAATAGAATATTATATGGATATACCACATTTTGGTTATTCATTCAACCGATGTATATCTGGGTTTTATGTACTTCTTGGCTGTTAGGCATGAGGTTGCTATGAACATTCATGTGCAAGTTTTTGTGTGGACATGTTTTCATTTCTCTTGGGCATCTACCTAGTCATGGAATTGCTGGGTCATGTGGTAACTAGGTATGTTTGAAGAACTACTAAATGATGCTTCAAAGGAGCTCCACTGTTTCTTATTCCCACCAGCAGTGTACGTAGGTTCCAGGTTCCCTACACCTTCACCAGCACTTCGTTATTATCTGTCTGTTTGAGTCTATCATCTTAGTGGGCGTGAAGTGGAATCTCCTTGTGCATTCTGTTTGCCCTTCTCTGATGGCAAATGACATTGAGTATCTTTTGACGTGCTTGTTGGCCATTTGTATTATCTCCTCTGCTTAGATCTACAGTTGTCTCAAAGACTTGGATTGATTTCCTGCATTTCCCCTGTGTTTTTCAGTTTTAATATTTGTGTTGGTGTTCGTTTTTTGACAGTCTGTTGACTTCAAATGTCTTTATATTGGTAATGCTGTGGAGCCACAAGGGGTTTTCCATTCTGCATTTTCCTCTCAGTTAGTTGGACCAGTTCACTGAGGCTCTGTCCTGTCTGGGCTTGGGGCAGCTGCTGGGGGGCCAAGGGGTCCTGGTTGGGAAGTGTGGACTCTGCAGTTGTCCTGGGCCCAACGCCAGGTGTCTTGTCACACTGGAGGGTGGGCGGCTGGGAGCCTCTTCATGTCTGGGTCTAGCAACATTTCCGGGAGCCTTTACCCAGGGGACAGAGGAGCCCACACTGACCAGATACGCCTTATGGTCAGCTCTGTATTGTTTGAGAGTATTCAAGGCCCTGATTTTATAAAGTCAGCCAAAAACAGGAGACTCCTGTAATTAATTTAAAATATAGTTTGCTGTAATCCATATAGCACTGAAAAACTGGAAGACTGTTTGTTTTAGTAAAGTGCTGTGTACTTTCTCTGTGTTCATTAGCATGACTGAACACATTTCTATTGACTATGTATAATATGTTTACTTAAAATTAGGCCTGCTTAAGCATGTGTAATTAGTGGCTCCATCTCTTACCCTGAGTTTGCTGCAGACAGAGGAATGGAGTCAAGAGCAGCGTGGCAACAGCAAGTGAAACACCCAGTGTTAGTTTTTCTTGTGTAACAGTCTCATCTTCTTCGTGCTTTCAAAGGCCAATCTGATGAGCTAATAATCTTCGGAGGTGCAGAGTGGCTGTGAACAGTGCTCCCCTACCCCCCAGGTTGCTGTCCCAAGTGTGGACCTCACGGTTGGGTCTTGTCACACAGGAGTGTGGGCGGGAGGGAGCCTCTTCATTTCCAGTTCCAGGGTCATTTCCTAGATGTTCCGCAGTGTTAGGGTCTGGATTCAGAACTTCGTTTCTCTCCGCTTGTAGATCTGCTCTAGCCCTCAGTTTCTGTGCCTGGAGAACCCACAAAGTTATTCAACTCTTTAAAAAAGAAACTTACATCACTAAAAACATAATAACAACAAAACAATTCTACTGATCTTCTTGTCCTCCTTCCCCCCCACCCACCCCACAGGTAAAACCCCCGGGCAGGACTGTACTTCTTATTCTGTTCCTCAATTTGAATGTGCTATTGAATGTATTATTTCCTGCCACGGAACTGCAAGGTCTTGAAACCCAATACCAAATACAGGCATAGATTACACATTAGAGGCTTGCTTGCCAATAATAACAGTAAGATCCCACGCAGCTGTTCTTTTTTTTTTTTTTTTTTTTTTTTTTTTTTTTTTTTTGAGACGGAGTTTTCGCTCTTGTTACCCAGGCTGGAGTGCAATGGCGCGATCTCGGCTCACTGCAACCTTCGCCTCCTGGGTTCAGGCAATTCTCCTGCCTCAGCCTCCTGAGTAGCTGGGATTACAGGCACGCGCCACCATGCCCAGCTAATTTTTTGTGTTTTTAGTAGAGACGGGGTTTCACCATGTTGACCAAGATGGTCTCGATCTCTTGACCTCGTGATCCACCCGCCTCGGCCTCCCAAAGTGCTGGGATTACAGGCTTGAGCCACCGCGCCCGGCCTAAACGCAGCTGTTCTTTACTGAGCACTTACTGTGTGCCATGCACTGGACTAAGTGGATCATACGTGCTGGCACAGTGCAACCAGCCCACATCCCTTGTGGTGGGTTTCGTTAACTTCCTTTTACAGTTTACCAAGACCCAGAGGAATTACGTAACTTGCCTGAAGTCACAGTGCCAGAAAATGGTGGAGTTGGGATTTCAACCCAGATCAGTCTGACTCGTGTGTTAAATCAGGCTGCAGTTGGTTGAAACTCAGGTTTAAAAGCATAAACACACACATCCCATTGGTCAGCACTGGAGGTTGCTTGGGGACCAGCTTCTTACTCTAAGGCTTGATAAGTAAGAGAAAAGAATCACGTGCTTATCCTTTCTTTCCTATATAAAACTTATTTCAGGGAGACCAAATAGTTGATGAAGGTAAGTTATGTATTAGAAGGATTCTAGCTTAAAAATGCAGAAGGAAGCCAGGTGCTGTGGCTCATGCCTGTAATCCCAGCACCTTGGGAGGCCGAGGTGGGCAGATCACGAGGTCAGGAGTTCAAGATCAGCCTGACCAATATGGTGAAACCCTCATCTCTACTAAAAATACAAAAATTAGCCGGTCATGGTAGCACATGCCTGTAATCCCAGCTACTCAGGAGACTGATGTAGGAGAATCACTTGAACGCGGGAGGCAAAAGTTGCAGTGAGCCGAGACTGTACCACTGTACTCCAGCCTGGGCTACAGAGCGAGACTCCATCTAAAAAAAAAAAAAAAAAAAAAGCAGAAGGAATAACAGAGTTCAAAAACCACCATTGTGAACCTTATTAAAGTGTGGATCTTAGCAACAGTCATCAGGGGGTGAGAAGGTGCTCAGAGGATGGCCGTTGGGGAACTGTGTGACCAAGGTCCCGGGCCAACACCAGCAGAGCTCAGCAAGAATGGCCCAGCCAGACTCTGGGCTTTGCTACATGACAGCCTAGAAGGACACGTGCTCCTGGGCAGCATGTGCACCTAAAAGACCTAACCTGAGTCTAATTGAAGCCTTAGCTCTGTCAGTCTACAGGAAGCACAGGGAAAGGACCCAATTTCTCCAACCTGCCAGTGCTCAGAATAAAAGGGAGCAGGAGTGGTTTTTCCAGAGCCAAATGGACTGGGAGGCCTGACACCCAGAGGCAGCGCCTTGGCGTCCTGCAGATCCAGGATGCAGGCAGAGTGGAGAAAACATGCATGGAGACTCTCTCTTGGATGATCCTCGGGAATTCTGTTCGTTTTGCTAGGAATGGTGATGGCATGGTGGTCTTTAAAGAAGTGTCTATCCTAGATGCCTACCGAGGTATTGATGACGACATGACATGGTGTCATCGGGGATTCATTTTAAGTATCCAGCAAAACTGCAGGGGCGGGAAGAGAGGAAACCAGCTTGTCCATTTTGCATGGTATTGACACTGGGTGATAGGAACACGTGGATTCATTCCACTGTTCTCTCTGCTTTGGGGCATGTTTGAAGATTTCTCTAATAAAAAGCAGAAAAGAAAAGTCCATGTGGTGAAATGTGAACGCGCGGGGTGTTCTGCAGGTTTCTGACGGCTGAGCAGTGAGCAGATTGTGGTTGTGGCTCTTAGAAGCCACCCAGGTTTACTGTAGTGTGTGTGGTCCTCTCTTCAGCAGGGGGTGTCTAGGTTGGCTCCTGCATGCAGAGCAGGGTGACGGCAGCCCCAGGGAAGGCAGGCGGCAGAGCCCAGCCCTTCTGTCCAGCAGCTTAGGTGACCTGCCACTTCTGCTGCCAGGAACAGGGTGTGACAGGGGACGTGATTTTCAGAGTAGAGATGGTGGCATCTCTGGAAAACTTATACCTTTTCTGTTGTCCTTTCCTTCAGAGGAAGTGGCTTTTAGGAAGAAGAGGCTGTGCATTAAGTTTATTCCACGGGATTCAACAGAAGCTGCAATTTGTGACATTCGGATCATGGGCCGGACCAAGCAGGCCCCGCCTCAGTACACATTTATTGGGTGAGTGTTAATGACAGGAATCTCAGCTGCTGCTCTTCCCTGAGAGCGCTCAGAGCACTCCAGGCAATGAAGTCCAAGAGATTTCTGCGCGGTCCCCAGGCTCTCAGCCGTGGGCCTCCATCAGCCCCGCACTCCCCGCTGCCCTTCCTGCTCAGCTGCGGCCTCTCCGCGTCTGGGCTCGCTCTGGCGACTCCACCTTAGGGCCTTTCCTCCCCTGCCCTTCATGTGCATTCACCCTTGCAGCTCCTCTGGGTCCTTCCCCGACGTCCTGTGATGCCACTGGCCACTGGCCTCAACTCTCCGCACCAGTTATTCACCCTAGAAAGGTCGCAGGGACCGATTTTGTACCATGGGGCCAAGGCCACTGGATGTGGTCGTGAGTGAGGCAAAGGCCCTGCTGTCATCGGGCTGATGTTCTAAAATGGACAGACGAGCAATAAACAAGAAAATAAATGAGATAATTCCGGACAGTGAGGAGGGTGAAACACAATGATAAAGAGTGGGCTCCTCCGTGAGGGGGTCAGGAAGGTGACGCTTGAGCAGAGACCTGAACGTCAGGAAGCCAGCCATGCACAGATGTGAAGCAGAGCCTGCAAGGCAGAGCCAGAGAGACGCGGGAATATGCGGGCCACGTTCTGGGTGCAGAACGCAGCCCCGTGCAGCTGCAAGAGCCAGGGAGAGTGCTGGGACAAGGGCGAGGGTTGGCAGGACCTCCTGGGGCGTGGCCTGGAGTTTATTCCAAGTACACAGGAAAGCCAGCGGAGGGCTCCGAGTCAGGAAGAAACACAAATGCTACACAGCATGATAATTCCCCAGTAAGCAGGGAACTGCCGAGGTCTGGGCCTGTTTGCGCCTTGTTCCTCCTGTAGCCTCAGCACCGAGCATGGGCCTGGCTCCGCTGCAGCTCCATCAATACTTAGTACAGTGGAATTCCAGGGTTTCACCCAGGGCTCTGTGGATTGTAAGTGACAGGAAACCCAACCCAGTTTGGCTTGAGCAAAAGGAGGAATTTGTTGGCTGGCATGACAGAAGAGCGCGGGAGGCAGGACTGGCACGCCTGGAAGCGGGATCTGGAAGTCCGGCACTGGGTTCTGGTTGCCCTGTCTCCCCCTGGCTCTGGTGCCGGGCTCTGTTCTGACATGTGTCCCCCTCAGGGAGGCCTGGCGCTGCAGTAGCTCCACCTGCTTTTCATCCAGGTTCAAGTCCAGAGGCCAAGAGCAAGTTTGTGTTCCTGATAGTTCAAAAGAAGTTCTAGAATTTACTCTCACTGGTCTTGATTGATTTAGGTAGGGTCATGTGCACCCTGGGCTGGTCACTGTTTTCTGGAAAATTCTTCCATTGACCAGGCCTGAGCAGGAAGTAGGATCAGCTCCATGGGAACTCAAGGACTAAGCATGATGGGTGCTGCCCCTAAAATACGGAGGGGAAGTAAAAAGTCAGAAAGGGGTGAGCGGATGCCAGCTGACAGAGGAAATAGACGTTCACTGTCCTCAGTCAACTGCAATTCCAGGTGTGCACGTTACTCAGTGTGGTAGATGGTTTACTGCCCCCTCAGCCAGGCCTGGCAGGGGCCATATGTCCCCCTGTGGGCTCCCAGAGACACCCTCTCTTCCTTGGCTTCTGGGGCCGGCCTCCGGGCTCAGGCCTGTACTCTGCTTTGCTCTTGTTCAGTTGAGCCCGGAGCCGCCTCTTTATCAGCCAGGGCCTTTCCTGAAGGCCTAGACCTGGACAGAGAAGCAGATGAGTCCTTGTGGCATTTGCTTGAAGCCTGCAGGGAGCAGGTACCACAGAAATGCAGACGAGTTTCACCTCGGTGAGTCTTCAGCTCAGGCATCTGAGTGCTCTGTGTCAAGATCACGTGCTTAAGAAGGACCCTGTGATCACTCTCTTCCTACACACTCAAAAAGCCTGTTTCCCAGCATGGTTTACAAATAGGACTGCAGGAGCAGGAAAGAGTTAAGAGGATAAACATACTTTAGGCACCTCAGAAGCACTTATTTACATATAAATGGCAGAAACCAGCAATTCAGTAATGAACTTTTAAAGTCTAATATCAGTTACTATGTGTATCTTTAATTACCAACTATCCTGTTGTAAAAAGATTCCATTTTTAACCAATTTAAACCATTTTAAGGAACAGATATTTACCAGTATATACCTTGATAAAACCAAAGCCTTTTTTCCTTGATAGCACTTTGGAAATACTGCTATAGTTTTAATTCACCTTGGGACAAAAATTCTTTTCCAGAGGAAGACAATTCCAGTGTTATTTTTAAGCAAAGAAATTTCAAATTCAGTATTCAGAACTCTAAGTCACTTATTCTTAAAAGCAGGCACAATTCTACATGTTACTTTGCAAGGGTTTGGGACTGTCAGTTGGGGAAGAGAGAAAACTCACACTCCAAACAGCACCTCCAAAGCCTGGCAGCTGGAGGCCGTGGCCCAGATGTGGAGAAATCAGTGCAGCTGGTTGGAATCACTCATCTAAGAAGACAAGATTGTGGTTTTACATGGTCCCTGTGGTGTTCTGAGAAGCTTATTAGGGGTTCCCACAGAATGAATCTTTATCCATTTTTTGAAGAGATTATATTCCTCTACACCAGGTCCCAAAGACGCAGTTGTGTGGGGCAGCTGGGAAGTTGGCAACTGAATATGGTGAAAATGACCCCGTCACTATTCCTAGGAGCACGGCTGTCTCCTCAGGACTCACGAGTGTGTGGTGTGGTGTGGGTGGGGCTGTGGTGACTGCGTAAGGGAGGTCACGGGAGAGCTCATGCAGTGTCTGGGAGGCCCCTTGGTGTCCACTCCTAGTTGTGTGATTCGTGGGGCCTCGAGTTTTCTAGTTTGAAGATGATTCCCAAACTGACCCTGAGAATGAGGCCAATGGCAGCTGACACCCAGCTGGAAGAGGCTTCGTCCTAAGATTGGGGTGTGTTAGAGAATGGGGGCTGATTCTTCTCACGGTTAAAAGCCAGCATCTCCCTATCTGTCCCTCCTGACTACACAGAGGACTTGATGTGGATTATCCCGTCACTCTACAAGGAAATGGCAAAACAAGAAATTTGGAGAAGCGAGAAAAGTGCCAGCTGGGGTAGGAAGGCAAGCTCGGGTAGGGCGCCGCAGGCGGCCTTGGCCTGAAGGCCTGCCTACATGGAGCAGGGCACCCTCGTGTGAGCTGTGACGCCCAGAGCACAAAGGAGATGGTAGAACCCATCTCATGTGGGGGGTAAGAACTGATTCTCGGGTGTTTGAGGCCATGACTCTTAGATGAGTTGGTTTGCTCTGTCACTCAGGTAAATGCTTTGTGCTACCCAGAGCCATGAAGATTTCTCTTTTTTCCTAAAGGGAACTGAACAGCATGGGGATCTGGTATCGAATGGGCAGAGTACCAAGAAATCATGACTCATCTCAACCCACAACGCCTTCCCAGTCATCAGCTGCTTCCACCCCAGCCCCCAACCTTCCCAGGTGAGGCCTTGTTGGTGGTGTCTTGCGTTGTCCTGTGGTCTTGGGTCCCTGGACAACATTTTAGAAAACTGCCACTTAGTGTCTGCTGAAGTAGTACAAAGTACAGCTGAACAATTGTAGAAGCAATATATCTTTAGAGGAGATTTTTAAAAATCCACTTGGAAATCTCTGCGTTACATGAATGCAAAGGCCATTCTGTAGTCTATTTTGTACCTGTCCTACAGGCTCCTAAAATTGCAGATTATGCAACTTAAAATTGGCTTGCTATTCGGAAGAGCTGCTAGATACACACAGACACGTGCCGTGTAGCCATGTGGTTGGGCTCACTGGCCTTAAGGTAAAATTCCTTCTCTGTCTTGGCTAGCAACTCATTTGAAACCCAGGAGGGTTAGTGAGTTATTATGTTCTTCATTTTCATATAATTTCTTTTTCCAATGAGCTATAAACTAAGGAATGGGTAGTTTGGGTCTGAGAGAATAGTGAGGAGTTTTTCAGGAAATGCTAGTTTTAATAATTGTCTCCACAGAGAAACTTGGGTGAGCCAACTGTTTGCTCTGCAACTGATTTCAGTCATTATAGAGGTAGTTACAGCCTCTAATGGCTGGGCACAGTGGCTCACATCTATAATCCCAGCACTTTGGGAGGCTGAGGGGAGCAGATCATGAGGTCAGGAGTTCGAGACCAGCCTGGCCAACATGATGAAACGCCATCTCTACTAAAAATACAGAAATTAGCTGGGTGTGGTGGCGGGTGCCTGTAATGCCAGCTACTTGGGAGGCTGAGACAGGAGAATCGCTTGGATCCAGGAGGTGGACATTGCAGTGAGCCAAGATCACACTATTGCCCTCCAGCCTTGGGTGACAGGGCAAGACTCCATCTCAAAAAAAAAAAAAGAACCCTGTCAAGTGAAACTCCTGTGCATCACTTGGAGTAAATTGAGGGCAAGGAACAAACAGCAATGATGGATTAAGTTTGAGAAAGGGATTGCAAAAGTAAATAAAGCAAGAACCGTGAGGCAGCATCACTAAGGGATGTAACATAAATGAGAATGGATCTCAAAGCTTCCACGTGGGTGAGTAGAGAGGATCAAAATCTGTCAGGAACAGGACAGAAAAGTCACCAATGGGTGTTCCTGGGCCCTCCACACTACAGCCTGCCCTCGGGGACATGCCACTGGCTCTCTGTACCCTGTTTCTTTGTGCCAAGCCTCCGCCTCACTTGGAAGATTGTGCTGTAATGAGGCCCCGAAGCCCCGAGGACTCTGTCCTCTGGGACATCCCTCTGTAAAGACAATCTGGTCTTTCTTATGACAGTTTCACAAACCAAGAGCGGTATTTAAACTTAACTACCTCTGGAATTGCCTGAAACTTTAGAAGTAGGTTTCAGTTTCACTTGGCATAAAAAGATAGGAATTGCGAATGAGCCTCCCGAGTTGCAGGATGAACAGTTGAGTTTCTTCGTTCGGTTCAGGAGCGTGAGTCTGGCTCTGTGTATCAACACTGGTTTCTCCATTTCTGAATGAGAGCACTGTCAGCTCTGCCCTGGAGGGCACTGCCGAGGGTCACTGTCACGTGTGCCAAGGCTATCTCAGGTGTGTCACCTGTGCTGGGGGTCAGCTAAGCCCATGACCTGTGTGTGGGGGTCCTCCATCGCCTGTGCTGGGGCCCATCCCCCATGCTCATGGTCAGCTCGTTTGGGCTCCTGGCAGAGGCTGGAAAGCCCCCACACGCGCAGTTGCCCTGAAGTAGTTACAGCTGCTCCCTGCTGACATCATGTGTTCCAGAAGGGCCCAGAAATGGGTGCCATGACTTTCTGTGGATAAAGAAAGAGTGCTGATTTTCTCAGATAAAGCAGAGGGAGTGCTCTCGGAAGCCTGCCGGTCACTGTGAGAACAAGGTCACTTGCAGCCAAAGCAAGATGGCCTGAGAACACCGGGCCACCGGAAGCCTGTCGGAATTGGAGGGTAGCGCATCAGAACCAAGTGTTTCTAAGGCTTACATATTTTATCACCTCTGCTGTACAGTTTATGGTTTACAGTGGCTGCAAGGAAATTGGATCAGTTTTGTTTTACTTGCCAAATAAAACAGATGTCAAAATAGTCAATATAAAATGTATTCTAATTTGGCTGAGTTAAGCCAGCCAGTGTGCAGCAGGATAATTGAATGTACATTAATGCTTCCAAGTAAAAACCACTTGTCTGTCCCAAGTTCTCCTGTGCAGTAATTTACAGGTAGGATGCACACCTATGTGGGCCTCATCCATCGGGGTTTTTTGTGTTTTGTGGGATTTTTTATTATTATTATTTTCCTATCCAGTAGCTTTGATTTTTTAAAAATGAAATACTGATTATTCATTCACATTTTCCACTGAAGACCTAGGAAAGGATGAGTATGCTGTTTTATTCGTGAGACTTCAGGTTTCTGCACTCCCCAGAGGAGGAACCTGATCGCCTCCCCTCAGGTGGGGAACAGTGGCTGGGGCTTGTGCTCCAGGTGCTGGTCTGCCAGGAGCCTAGAGGGTAAAGCAGGTCCCTCAGTGGGCCGCACACCAGCCCTGGGAATTCTTCTCCTCCCTCTCCCAGCCCAAGCCCCAGACATTAACCTGTGCTAGTGGCCTCCTCCTCCCTTCTTGCCCCAGGCTTCTGCGCCTTTGCTCCTGATGCTCCCTGCACATCAGGTGTGTTTGGCAGGTCTCAGTGCAGAGGACTCCTCTCCCAGGAAGCCTTCCCTAAGGCTCCTGGGCTGGGCCTGTGATGAGTCTTCTTCTCTGAGTGCTTCTAGGTCATCTGGAGCCTGTGTGGTGTTATAGTCATGTCGCGAGCCTCCGAGGAGCTCCCCAGCGCCCACCTGGCTCCAGGCACGTATTTAGTGTCACGATAAATGTGTCCCTGGCAACCCCTCCTGACTCCCTGGTCCCTGAGCACTGCATGGGCCTCTCTCGATGACGAGAGTAATCTAGGCTTGTAGAAAATTGGCAGAATGTAGAAAGTATGAAAAAACAGGAATTCCATTTCCCACTAGCAAATGCTAATAACCTTTTGTAATATTTCCCTCAAGTCTTTTTCCTGTGTACTTTTTACCTAGGTGATATCATACTGTGTAATAGCAAGTCTGTGTCTTGCCACTGTTTTCTCAGGTATCCTTAACCACTAACCTGAGAACCACAGCCAGTGCAGTCTTTGTGTGGTGTGGATCAAGTCGCTGGGAGCGTGGTGACGCAGCGCCCTCTACTGCCCAGCCGTGGCAGTGGCGGGGAACGCGGTTCTAAGCCAGAGTTGGTGGCAGGCCGCTTCCCGGCAGAGCCCTGGCCCAGGCCCATTGGGAGGACCTAGGAAGGGATGGGTCACAGATCTTGCTGCCTTCTTGAGCCGGTGTTCTTCTCCAAAGCCAAAACCACATGCTCTGCCTCCATTTCTTGTGTCATCACTCCAGTTTCAAAGAATTCCCTGCCATTTTTTGGAATGTCATTTATTCCCAGCTTTGTTTCAGACAAAAGGTGAGTCTTTGCGGTGTCTGTGGGCCATCACCTGAGGACTGCATGGTTCTAGCGGCACTGTATTCTCTGTCCAAACGCAAGAACTGCCTCTAGAATCAGGAGCTTCCTGCAGAAGCTCTGTTATTGCAGAAAATGTTGCGGTGTCACCGGCTTTGGAGTTGTCCTTTTGGAGCGGGCAGGTCCCCAGGGAGAGGAGGGATGCTCCTAAGCTGTATCCAGTGAGTGAGTTGGTAGCTAAGGCGGCAACAGGTGGCTTGGCAGAGCTCTCATGCAGTTCATCTCACACACAAACGTCACCACACACATCTCTTGACTATCTCCTAGTGCTTCTTCCGGGATCCAGAGCCTCCACTTCTCTGGGCCTCAGGCCACTCTGTCCCCTGCCCATCCATGTCATGCACATTGATCAACAGGAGGGGTCTGGCCTTGGGACGGAGGCACGGTCCCATCTCTGTGGCCCTCTTTGGGGCTGGGCCCAGCTTTGTGAGTCAGCCTCGGGCATGTGATCAGATGGTGGGGTTTCTGATTCATCTCTGTGCTGCTGTCCGGGGCAGGGGGACCAGGAGAGGAAACACCATCCTGGCTTCTATCAGAGCAGCCCCTCCACCATCTCTCACATGCAGGGCGTCACTTGTTTCTGCTAGGAGGAAAAGGCTCTTTCTTCCTAGCAGAAGAAAGGGACGGAGCTGCTAGGATGGAGGTTTGGAACAGCCCCAGGAGGCAGGTGGGCTCACAGCGGCTGGAGCACCAGAGGCCCCCAGTATGATGAGCGAATGGCTCTGGGTCGACCCAGGAGGAGGCCCCTGGTGGGCTGCTGCCCTCTAGCTCAGCAAGCAGCGGAACCATGGCTTGATAAAGACATCAGAAGCATGCTTATCAAATTTGCAGATGATGCAGAGTCATTAGGGTGAGCTGACGCGCTGAATGACAGAATCAATACTCCGCGTCTCCTCCACAGCCAGAACAACCTGCTGGAGCCATGGCAGGCGATGGGCGCAGGCGGAGAGGGCTCCTGAGGTTCAAAACATCCATTACACAGGAACCAACTTGAGGCCTGGCTTAGCAGCCAAGTGTGTGGAACGGCCAGTTCGGAGTGTGGGTGTGTGGAGTGCAGTCTGGTGTGTACCAGAGGGAGGCCCTGAGTGGAGTCCTGTTCCTGGGGTGTGTCCACTGCCTCACCCTGCCAGGCAGAGGTTACCCAATTCCAGTGTCACGTTTAAGGAATCCAGTTTCGACCCAAGTGGAGGCAAGCCAGCCCACTGCAGATGTCTTAAAGGTCAATATCAGGAGAGAAAGTAGAAGGGTTTCCAGGTGGGGATGGGGCAGGGGAGGGATGGCTGGGGGCTCCAGAAGGCAGAATTAGATCAGGTGGACTGAAGTTATGTGGAGGTAGATTTAGGCTTACCGCTTTTAAAAACTCAATAAAGACAGCTTCCCCAAGGGGAAAATTCTGTGGCATCAAAGAAGCTGACCTGAGGGGTAATGCACTCCTAGATGCTAGGGGT